ATTCGCTAGCCGAATGTGAGTGCAATTACTTTCATTGAAGCAGCCAAGTGTTTTTTCACCTGGAGTGCATGTATTGAAGATTTACAACTAGATAAACTGAGTTTAAACTTTTTCTCCTGATGTTGTAAACCCTAGACTGGGTAATAGAACCCTCCTGATTGCTAAGCCAGCACTGCCAACACCACGAATCCTTACATAACGTCAGATTTATTTTGCGAAGTCATAATTACATTGGTATTCAATATCCTGTCCTACAATCTTAAGCAGTATTTGAGTAGAGATAGCGGCTCTGGGGATATTTATATAGGAAATTTGATAAATAGTGCGGTCCGAAAACCAATTTGTCTCTATCAAGACTACAATAATTACTGCAAGTTAATAGCAGATTTATTTTCGTCAAATTAAAGTTGGAATATTTTCTATTTATGGCATTTAATATTTTAAAGTAGCAGAGCCTATACATGTATTGATCTGTTTATCACAAGGTCAGTCTGAGGGGGGTAAATTTTGTCGGGAGGTCAAAGGTCATACAATCTTATGAGTTCAGTCGTGGGTACCTTAATTTACCTCTGGATCGATGTTTTGTTCATAAACAAATTTAGTCTGTCATTCTCTATTTTTCTTTCCAAATTTATATGAGTATTACAATTGTCATATCTATCATATTCCTTAACTTATGGAAGTTGTTTTGAAATCAAGAACAAATTTGTTTGTATTTTGACTTTGATCGAAATGAAAATAACTCATTTTACATAGCATGTGGATAATGAGAGTATAGATACATGTTGGTCTGTGTGTTACACACTGTTTTACAGGATATTTAGACCAAAATTGTAAGAAAATACAAATAGATGTCCTCATATCTTACATTCTTACAGTTTTGTAAGATCTAAACTAAACTCAAAAACACAGATTCGAAATTCTTGAAAATATTTTGCCTCAAATCAAATCAGAACAAAATTCAACATAAACTTGATGTGCCGTTGTCATCCTATTTCTGAAATAGTTATTTTGTTTCCATGACGACACATTATAGCCGTTTTGTTGGTGGGTGCGGTTGTTACCAATTATCCATCTATGAAGTAGAAGTGTAGGAGAAAGATGTATTAATAACAAAATGGTGGGCAGATTTGATGGTGTAGATCAGTAACGATCCACATGTCTGTAGTCGTGGAGACAGAATCCTATTAATCTTACTTGTATTCTACACTACAATCTGAAGCAGCCATTTTTCCTTACACAAACACATGTTCTATGGGCTGTCATTAGTTCCACAGTAAGAACGTCCTGCGAACTCTTCAAGTCGTGGAGGAGCATAAGTGCATGCCTTCCTTTCCGCTCCCCGTTTAGATCCATTTTCTGGCCTGGTGTAATCTGGTTTGACTTTAAAACCCATTTATGCTGGGTCCCTCATATAGAAATGTGTAGGTTAGAGAGGTTCTGCGGCTCTCAGGGTTCAACGTGATTTATTAGTTAATATTTCATATGGCCTGGATACATTTCCCATTTACTTACTCACTGTGGGTTTTAGGGTTCAGCCCGGAGTGAGGCTCCCTTTTAACCCAGAGGTCTGCTTTCAGGAGAGCAGCAACACTTAAATAGATATTAGTCCTTCATGAAAACTCCTCTGCCAGCTTTGAAGTAGGGAGCTGGGGTATGGCAATGGGTAGGAGATGAAAAGATCGCTATTCGATGGACCACGGAAAATATACTTACAGAGGGAGCTCTATCAGCTGTAAATGACTTTTAGATGGAGTTGGTTTTGATAAAAAGGTCGTGATTTTTCCTCAGAACTATCTGCTCGTTCCCAACAGAGAATGGCAGTTATTTCTTCAGATTCTAGCATTGTTCCTTCTCAAATACTGTTGTACAAAGATTTTCTTCTTTTACAAAAATAACAGATTTTCACTTTTTTCAGATTTTTCTCTTCTTTTTTTCTTTTAGGTCAGCTTGGGACATTCTCCAAATGATTAAAAAAAAAAAGTTGAATTAAAACCCAAATATTCTTAATGAAATTCCCATTTTTTTTAGAAATGTAAGTTATGACAAAACACCTTTGTTTGACCAATACTGATGTTAGGTCTGTTGGATGTTTATTTTTACCTGTAGATTATTTTTTATCTTACTATTGAAATTTTATTTCAGTTAGAGTACTAGATACTTCAAAACTGTACATTGATTATGACAGAGCTTGACTGTCAACCAAACCTGATGGCAGTAATGTTAGATATTCGGGAATCTACCTGTAGAATGTTTGATTTTACCTTTGGAATTTGATTTGACATGGGTTAGAGATTTTTGGTTTAACTTTCTGACCTCTGTGATAAGCTGTCGTTTTACTGTCATTGTCTGACACTGACAGACTCCAAACATTTAGGTGCAGGGTGTGTTGTTAGGTCAGTGAAATGTCACTCCCCGAACACAGCGAATTGTTGAATAACATGAAAAAAGGGCTATGTGTTGTATAAAAAATACCGTGAAATTATTTTTTATTAAATTTCACTATCATTGCACATTACTCATTATGTGTGACAATATAGACAGTGAATTTGATTCCTAATTTGTACGTTTCACACGGGCAGAAAGGCTTATTCAAATTTCTTATGATTATAAGTATTGTACTTTTCATGCAAAGTTTTTTTATTATATAAAGTTTAAAAGGAAATGTTTTCACTTGGTCTTTTCATGTAATTCTGAAACAAATCTGGGTGTTGCTATGGTAAGTGATGACCTGGAAACCAAGCTAGGTCAAAGGTCACAGAATGACATCACATTTAATACTCAAACATTTACATCAGTATGTGTCAATCACATGTATTTATCATATTAGGAAACAGAATTTCTGTCTTAGTACGGTCAGTCATGTCAAACTTGTCAATTCTAGTAGATGTTCAGCTAGGAATATTAGTTTTCCCGATTCAAATTTTTTATGGAAAAAAATATTTTCATTTCTTAACAACTGCATGCAGAATTGTGACTGCTTAATTTTGTTTTAACTTATAAAACTTCAACCTCTGGCTTTACTAATAAAGTAAAATTATATCTATGAACAGAGTAATATGTGACATTCAAAAGTTGGATCTGCTCACACCATTAAATTTCTACCCTTAAACTTCTGAAGAAACCAAACCAAAGAGAGAAAAAACAAGAATGATTTAAATGAATCAACTCAAAATGACATAAACTTTCAGTCATTTTGTAAATTGCTTCAATTTCATTATCAAAAGCTACACAACTCGAAAATAAGATTTGATGAATCAAATTTCACCAGGAATTTCTATCTGGGATAGCGTGTGCTGCTCATGATGTAATTTCCATGTTGCGATCTCGTCTCTTGCTTCTCGTGGAATCTGGGGAGGAATCTTGGGAGGAATCGTATAGCGGGGGCATTATAACACACTTACATAAAAGTTCAAATTTACGACTGCTCAACAACGTTTTCGCTGACTGAATCCAATCTCATAGGATTGGGGCGGAGGCTTTGCCTGCAGCACAGTGCACATGTTTGTTTTTAGGCCACGAGCATTCAACAACATTCCCGGGGTAGAGGGGGACGAGGGGGAC